CCTGACCTATAGGCAGCAGGCGGTGGGGACGCTGGTGTGGCCTCATCACCTTCCCACCCTCAGTGACACCTCTTCTGACAAGGTTACACCTCCCAATCCTTCTAATCCTTCTCAAATGGTTCCACTCCCTGTTACAAGCATTCACGTAGTGAGCCTATGGGGGACATTCTCTTTCAAACCACCAAAGTCCCCCTCCTATTTGCCTATCTTTTGTTTGTGTTTTTGTCACCTGGCTACTATAATTAGAGTTGCTTCCATGGGTATACAAACATGGGGAACCCAACAGTGGCTACAGCACTGAAGAAAACAGGGACTTCCTACTCTATCCCAACCAGTAACTTCCATGTTCTTCCTAAGCTTGTTTGTATTTCCATTGCCATTTTCGGCAGAGTCCTGATCCTTACCAGTTTGCCCTCCCATAACATTCCGTATTATGAAAGGCAGACTGTCTTTAAAATGTCAATCTTGAATTAGAATTTCAGTATTCGAGCATATTAGTTACCTCCTGGTCTTGGTATCTGTTTGTCCTCTAAATACAAGTTAAATAAAAAAAACAAACATGAATATCTCTCAGAATAACTTTAAAATTTTTCTGATTTACAAATACAGACAGGGACTTTAGTTAATTCAAGTTTTAGAGTGCTTGAATTCCTTACATCGTGACTATAATTTGTAGACTATCTAAGCATTTAATTTATTCAAATCTTTTCAGGCGAGTGTTGAAACATATAGATGATTTTGCATGTGCCTTACATTAAACATGATTTTCTTCTGAAGTTTACATTGCTGTTACCCGCACAGGGCAGGCAGCAGGGCGGCTGCACACATGCAGGCTTGAAGTCATGTGCTGTGCTCACCTAAATTGATTTCAGCATTATTGGTTGTTCCTTCTGCTTAGACACCTATTAGTTAAAGGGATGTCAAACACTTTTGTGTGTTCGAGTGATGCTAAAAAAGATGGTTGGAGGTGCCCGGACTTCCCCAAAAGCAGTATTGGTACTGTTGGTTTACCACAGTGAGACAAGAAATGCACCTGTGAATTGGCACCATGGGCTTGCTGAGTCGC